TTACTCACCAAGACCAGAATGAAGAGAAAAACATCAAAATGCAAGGTATTTACATTCAATGCAACTTATCAAATTAGAAACCCTTTCAGAAAAAGAGATAAACTATTATAGTTCAGTACTATTTTTTCTCTATGCAGCCTTTTTTGGACTTCGTGCATTGGACTTAATGCTTCTAAAGTTACCTGGTATGCTGCTTCAACTCAACTAAACCTCTAGTTTCCTTAGCTCTAGTATAATTTTTAACTAATCTTTTTTTCACTTTTGTTGTTGATTCTTGATATAGGAATCAAGCAAATTTATGATTTGAAGTTGATCCATACACTTTCGATTGAGGTTCTGAAATGTATGTGTGAACACATAACAACTTTAAATCGCAAGGAAAGTGAAGAAGGTCTATTGTTTCGTGCTTTCTTTGAAGCTATCCAGAATGGCATGGAGGAGTTTGTGGTTGCACTGTTGAAAGCCAGACCACAAACAATTAAGCTAGTTGCTACAAATTCAAGAAACACTTTAATGTGTGCACTTCAATATCGTCAAGAAAAAATTTTCAGCTTCTTTTGTAGCAGTGATGGATGGAAGCTCCGTTTTCATGGGACCGATTGTTTCGGTAATAATTGCTTACATATAGCAGGTATGTTAGCCCCTGACTTTCAACTAGCTTGCATTTCTGGAGCAGCCCTGCAAATGCAAAGAGAACTGCAGTGGTTCAAGGTCACTCCTCTCTCTCACTTCATATCTATATTTTACTTAAATCATATTATCAGCTTATGTTTAAATACTAAACATTAGTATGATGAAATGAATGTAATGTAGGAGGTTCAAAGCATTGTTCCAGAGTGGTGTAAAAAAGCTAGAAATAAAGAGGGTGAAACTCCAAGTGATGTATTTACAAAGAGCCACAAGGAATTGGCAAAACAAGGGGAGAAATGGATGAAAGCTACAGCAAGTTCTTCTAGTATTGTTGGCTCTCTCATCATTACCATCATGTTTGCTGCAATTTTTACTGTTCCTGGCGGTCACAATCAGGAAACTGGCTTTCCCATTCTCTTGGGTAAAAAATCATTTATGGTATTCTTGATCTCAGATGCAATTTCCCTCTTCACTGCATCCATCTCAGTGTTGATGTTTCTGGGAATCCTCACATCACGTTATGCCGAGGAAGACTTTTACAAGTCCTTACCTCAGAAGTTGATTTTGGGCCTTTCAACACTCTTCATCTCTATAGCAACAATGATGGTAACATTTTCTTCTGCTCTTATAATTATGTTACAAGGCCGTTGGTCAGTAATTATTCCAATAATTCTGCTAGCTGCTCTTCCTATCACTCTTTTTATGTGGCTGCAATTTCCGCTCCTTGTTGAAATTTTTATTTCAACCTATAGACCAGGAATCCTTGTTAAGACAAAGAAGCAGTGGCATTAGCACAGTAAATGTGTCCAATTTGCTCATCATGTAATCTTCAAACTTATATTAGTCATACATGCTCCTAATCATGTACTGTGTGTTTCGGAACTAGCTCGTTTCTCCATAAATTCAAACTTTCTATTCACATTCACAAATACAGATCACAACCATCTGTAGATCAAAGCAATAGCATATGCTTTTGTGATTCATTTCGATAATAACTTCCATATATAAATATAAAGAA